GATTACAGGCGTGAGCCACCACGCCGGCCACCAGGCTTTTCTGAATCCCGAAGGCCTAGTGGTGACCTTCCCTCTCATGGTGGGTGGGGAGGACCCCTGACTGAGAGTGGACATCTAGGAAAAGGAGCCTTGGCCCTGAGGCCTTTCCAGCACAGGCCTGTTCCTGGAGGGCCCAGGGGACAGGCGGAGCAGGCCACAGAGCTTGGGTGTCCGTTCCAGGGCCCGTGGCTAGAGCGGCACGGGTGCCTCATAGCCCTGGTGTGTGGGGTGGGAGCCTCTGTGCAGAAGAGCCCGGCGCTGGCTTCCAGCTCTCTGTTGGAGTTTATTTATTTATTTATTTATTTAAATTTTATTTTACTTTGTTTTTTATTTTGAGACGGGGTATTGCTCTGTTGCAGTGGCTGTTCACAGGTTTGATTCCACTACTGATCGGCGCAGGAGTTTTGACCTGCTGCATTTCCTACCTGGGTCGGGTCACCCCTCCTCAGGCAACCTGGTGGTCCCCGGCTCCCGGGAGGTCACCATATTGATGCCAGACTCAGTGCGGACACCCAATCGGCATAGCGCACTGCAGCCCAGAACTCCTGGGCTGAAGGAAACCTCTAACCCCAGCCTCCACCGTAGCTGGGACTACAGGTACACACCACCCCGCCCGGCCTGGCCTTTTTTTTTTTTTTAAGGTGGAGTTTCGCCCTTGTTGCTGAGGCTGGAGTACAGTGGCGCAGTCTCGGCTCACTGACACTTCTACCTCCCGGGTTTAAGCGATCCTCCTGCCTCATCCTCCCAAGTAGCTGGGGTTGCAGGCTTGTGCCACCACACTTGGCTACTTGCGTATTTTTAGTAGAGAGACGGTTTCTCCATGTTGGTCAGGCTGGTCTCGAACTCCCGACCTCAGGATCCACCTACCTTAGCCTCCCAAAGTTCAGGGATTACAGGTGTGAGCTACCTTGCCCGGCTCATGTTGGGAGTTCTTTAGCCACCTGTCAGCAAGGGGCCGCATTTTCACTTTGCCTGACCCCTTGAGTTCCACTGCTCCCTCACCACCCTCTCCTGCTCTGCTCTCTTCTCTGCTCTCCCGGCTCCTGCCTCCTCCCTTTTCTTTTTATACCTTTTGAGATGGAGTGTCACTCTGCCGCCCAGATTGGAAGGGAAGTGGTGCAGTCTGGGCTCGCTACAGCGCTGCTTCCTGGGTTCAGGAGATTCCCCTGCCTCACCCACCAAGTAGCTTGCATCCCTGGTGTGTGCCACCACATCTAGCTAAATTCTTTTTTTTTTTTTAGAGACAGAGGAGTTTTGCCCTTTTTTGTTTTTCTTCTGTTTTGTGACAGAGTCTTCCTCTGTCGCCAGGTGCCAGGCTGAGTGCAGTGGGGCCATCTCAGCTCCCTGCAACCTTTGCCTCTCGGGTTCAAGCAGTTCTCCTGCCTCAGCCTCCTGAGTAGCTGGGACTACAGGCACACACCACCAAACCCAGCTAATTTTTGTATTTTTTAGTAGAGATAGGATTTCACCATGTTGGCCAGGATGGTCCCAATCTCTTGACCTCGTGATCCACCCACCTTGGCCTCCCAAAGTGCTGGAATTACAAGCGTGAGCCCCTGTGCCCGGCTGGAGTTTTGCTCTTGTTGCCCAGGCTGGAGTGTAATGGCGTGATCTTGGCTCACCTCCACCTCCGTCTCCTGGGTTCAGGCAATTCTCCTGCCTCAGCCTCCTGAGTAGCTGGGATTACAGGCACGCGCCACCATGCCCAGCTAAT